CCTAGAAAACAAACAAAAAGCCTAAAAAAATCCTTTGAATATCTTTTACTTTCACCCTAGAATGACTCATTTTGTTTTAGGATAGGTTTGACTCCTTCTAATGCAAAGATTAACCAAGAAAAACTCCTGGTGGACAACAAGTTAACCCTGAGCCAGCAGTGTGCCCTTGTGGCCAAGAAGGCCAATGGGATCCTGGGCAAGATTAGGCAAGAGTGTTGGCAGCAGGTCGAGGGAGGTGATCCTGCCCCTCTACTCAGCCCTGGGGAGGCCTCACCTGCAGTACTGTGTCCACTTCTGGGCTCCCCAGGACAAGAGAGACATGGCACTCCTGGAGAGAGTCCAGCAGAGGGCTACAAAGATGATGAGGGGACTGGAGCGTCTCTCCTCTGAAGAAAGGGTGCGAGAGCTGGGCCTGTTCAGCCTGGAGAAGAGAAGACTGAGAGATGATCTCATCAATGTGTACAAGTATCTGAAGGGAGGTAGGTTGTCAAGAGGATGAGGCCAGACTCTTCTCAGTGTTGCCCAGTGATAGGACAAGAGGCAACAGGCACAAACTGAACCACAGGAAGTTCCGTCTGAAGCTGAGGAAAAACTTCTTCACTGTGAGGGTGACAGAGCACTGGCACAGGTTGCCCAGGGAGGTTGTGGAGTCTCCTTTGCTGGAGATATTCAAAATGTGCCTGGACCCAATCCTGTGCAACGTGCTCTAGAGGACCCTGCTGGGATTGGACTAGATGATCTCCAGAGGTCCCTTCCAACCTCAGCCATTCTGTGATTCTGTGATTCTGTGAGAAAACCTGTGACTTGACAGGGAAGGAACTCCACATCTCTGCTTCCTACCTCTGCCTTCAGTTTGCTGTCTTCAGCGTGCTCTGGTGACTTGGAGGAAGTTGTTGTGTTTGAAACAGCAGCTCCCCAGGGAAGAGACCAGACAGAAGTGAAAGAGACAGAAATCAGTTTGGGGCAGAAAAAGGAGCAAGCAGCAGGTCTCTGCAATGCCCTGCTTGGAGTGGCAGTCCTTTTACAGAGGATAGCAATGGGTTGTAGTTGTCTCCTGCTTGATTAGGCCAGCGTTTTCCCCCTCACCCAGCCCGATCTCAGGAGCCACTCTTATTCTTTGTTATTTTCAGGCTAACACTGGCACTAGGAAAGAAGATCATAGATCTTTCAATGACCTGATTCAGAAAACATGTAGGTGGAACTAGTCAGGAGCACATATTGTACATGTTCCTTCAGTGATGATCTCTCATTTGCTTTGTTCCAGCACGTGAAACCCCTTTTGAGGCAGGGTCAGGAGGTGGAGGCAGTGGCTGAGCCTTGCTGATGTGGCAGTTCAGCTTGATCACCCATCACTCACCTGGACCCTTGCTGGTAGTATCCCGTGGTGCCACACTGCTCCTGGGTGGGATGAGAGGTGGCTAAGGTGACAGGAGGTAAATACTCATCCTCCACAGAAGCTGCTAGCTGAAAGTGAGCAGACAAAGGGTCTGTGGGAGTATATGATGCTGTGTCTCCTGTTGCTGTCTCTTATCTCACCAAGTTTCACCCTGGTCTTTTCCTGTGCTTCATTCCCCATCCATGGGGACACCAAGCTCCCTGAAGCCTGGGATTCTCAAGTAGGTTCTCACGGGAACCGTCATGTTCTCAAAGGGCAAGTAAACATCCCACGGCACTTATGTCCAAGCAGATGTTTGCTCTGGCCCCAAGCACCCTGTCATTCCCACCATACAATAACAGGCTGAGCACCAATCAGCTCCATGCTTTCCATCACTAGCACAAAATACAGACTCTTGCACAAGTGCTCCATTACAAAGCCTGTCTCCCCCTCTCCTTCAGCAAGGCCATCCTGAATGCTTGAACCAGAAATGATGTTAAGCTGATATTCAGAGATAGTTAATGACTCAGTGATTATCTGAAATGTCCCACAGCCAAATTCCTCCTAAAATCTGCAGAAACATCCTGCATGGCTAGAAATATGACAATGGGATAACAAGGCCTATCTGACCCACTGTGCAACACTGGAAAGTTTCTTTTTAAAAGTCAGCAGGGCTTGGAGCTCTCTCCATTAGCACTGCTTTTATTTTGATTTAACTCCGCTGGTTTCAGCCTGACCACAAGGAATTTTCTGTAGAGACCTGAAGGCAAAATCAGACCTTTTGGTCATCATTTTCACTGGATAACTGAGGCTGCTCAGAGCTGTCGTTTTCTGCATAAAATCCATGCAGTGGAGAATGAGGCAATAATTTAGATTATCATCTGGGAGCCATTTTAAAGGATTTAGGGAGAAGGGGATGAAGATTATTTTGCTACAAGGGAGAGTGAGGATTTGGCATTGTTCAGTTCTCCTTCCCTCAGGAAGCAGGGTCATGATCATCAACATGACCATCATCAGCAGACACCAGGCTTGGCAGCCTGATCTGCCTGCGAATCATATCTTTGGAGGGTTGTTTGAGGAAGCCGCAGTGTGATGTTCCACTGCCTGGCAGATCCTGGCAGTACTCAAGAGAGGATGTTAATAGGAAGACCCTCTTCCTACTTCAAGCATTGTGCTCCCAGGGATGGGACACTGAGCGTGGAGTTCAGCTCACAGATAGACACCTCCGTTTAGAGGTTCGGTTCAGTTTCCCACACCATGGGGTCCACTTTCATTTGAAACACCCTAAGGTGTCTGACCTGGCCTGCAGTTGCTCATCCACAAAGGCCAAGGTCTCCCGTAAGGCCTGTGCCAATATCTGCCAGCCCTGTGCAGATACCTTAGGTATCTTTGCATGGTACTGAATGCCACTGAATGGAGCCCCACAGTCTATATGTAGCAAAGTCGGTGGAGAGCTGGTCAATACAGTCAGGAAAGCCAAGAGGGCTCTTCACCAACCAGGTGCATCTGGTTGCTGCTGCATCTAATATGCATCTCATTCTGACATTATTTACCTGTTGCATTCCAGGTAGAAAGTAATGAGGTTCTCTCAGTGATAACAGATGAAAGGAAAAAAAAAAAAAAACCAACAGAAAAGACGCTCTACTTTTGTTCTTTAAATACTTACTTTATTGAGCTCAGCCCTGATTTTCCCCAGAAGCTGGGATACCCACACAGACCATAGTCAATGGTCAATGGTGCAACGTCCAATGATGTGCAGGAAAGCTACTAACTCACTGACTCACTGTCCTGTCTATGTGAAAGTAAACAATAATACAACTGGCAGACCTCTGATACCACTACCTCTTCCTGGTAAAAACCTCAATTGCACTAAACTAGGCTAACACAAAGGAAACAAATCCCATCCATCTGATGATTACATTCTTCCCACTGAAGGGCTCTGTTGTACCTCTACCCCTCAGCAAGCCCAGTAGAGGTTGTTTTGCTTTTCTGGCTGGGCTCAGACATATTTCTCCAGAGGAAGACAGTTTACTAACCTTGCAGTAAAGCACCTAACCACCATATTTTGCCCAAACCCATTCTTCTAACAAGGATATCCCTTGGAGCTCCCCTACCATGTCCTAAAGTTGTTATTTTCCCTTGTATATCTGCCTTCTCCTCCTCAGAGATGAGTCTCCACCTGGCCAGAGGGATTTGACAGGGGGTTTCATATCAAGCAATTTGGCTAAGGTTCATAGGTAAGGGCTTGGATAGACCTTGGACAGAGGTAGGCTCCTTCAGAGGTTGACTCAGAGCTTGCTTTGGCATTTGAAATCACCTTGTGGAGCTGCCTGTTACATACAGACTATTTTGAAAGCTAAGGGAGTCTAAACACCAAAATTACTGTGCTTTTAGGCTTTGGCAGTCGTCCTCAGCATTAGGCTTGAGTTATCACAACAAAACTGCTCAACATAATTGTGCCCAAGCTGTTGGTAAAGGCAAAGCTTAAGTATAATTTGTCCTGTTCTCTCCTCTCGCTTCATGCCTCACTTTCCCTGCCTGCAGAGATAACTTGCCTGCTCCAGAGTAGACGGTGCAAAGAAGTTCAGGTCTGAAGTGTCACAGCAGGTAGTTGCCCAAAGCCATGTCTGTGACTTTCAGATGCCTCCAAGAGGACACATTTTGAACATGCCCTGGCAGAAGTAGGCCGTGTGTGCCTTGGGGCATGGGGATGGGGTTTCCTTTTCTGTACAAAGCAGAGAGGCAGATCCCCTGTTTCACCATGCTTCTCCCCTTGTCTCTTGTATTCTACATATTACAGAAACATGCAGAACCCTAATATCTGGCTTTGTTCTGCAATGTTCTGATGGTTACATAGCAATGTTGCAGAGAAGTCTTTGAGAGTAACTCAGGAGATCCTGGACTCCCTCCACAGCTCTGCTTCACCAGAGACTTTCAAGACATAAAGATCCCTCTTACCAGGGAACACTCAAACAAAAACATTAGCAGTGAGCAATAAAGACCATTGAACTGTCCACGCTTTTGAGGAGCTGCACAGTCCCCTTCACACCAGCAAGAGAATGGGAAAACATCTCAGCAGCAAAAGAGTTTCTGGTCTTCTGGTCTAGTCCATAAAGCCTGAAGCTCTTTTCAGCTATTCCCGTTGCTTGTTTTGAATTCCATAAATAATGCCCAGTAAAGTCAAAACCCAGCTTCACAGTAAAAGGCAAGTAGAGCAGGTAGTTGAGAATCGCACCAGTGTTCAGTCGTTACTCCAAACTGGTGAAGTCACTGATGACGTTGGGACTCATGGTGGCAAAGGCAGTCCCTGAGACATGAGAGATGTGAAACTCCTTGATGCTAAGAAAAGCCATTCTCATTTGCACCCAGGCAGTGGGGCTGTAGGCGTACAAGGCAGAATATAATCTGCTGGCTTCTTGGCTAGCTTTGGAAAACAGTCATTGATTTTGCATAACTTACTTTTAGGGACTTGGCTTAAACCAATTTGGGAGCCTGGTCTGGGGCATTCAAGGCTTAGAGCCCTGGGCCCACTGGCTGGCAGCTATTTCTCCCAAATCTGTATTACCAGGTTGACTTGCAATTCAGGTCTGTTAGCTTAGTGAGAGCAAGGTGTGAATTACAGCTACAGGAGGGGGGAAGAAGAGAGGGGGCCCTTACTTTAAACCCTCTCCTAGATGGGATAGGCTCTCTCCAGCTTTCTCAGAAACACTGTGATATAATCAAAATAGATACTTTCCAGTCCTCTTGACTACATTTTGCCCACACAAGACAATTTTGGTAACCACACCTTCCACATGCTTTAGAGAGACAGGCATCTTTTTACCAGGATCCCTCCATCTTCAAGAGCTCTCTGAACAAAAGATACCCTGCAGGTGATCCTCAGAAAACAGTGGCAGAAGACTGGTTTCCAGCAGTGCTCTGCACCTGCTACCTCACTCAGGTTAAATCCCATCAGAAGTTCTGCACATGTAAGGCCAGCAGAGTTTGCTCCCATCCCCCTTCTCCAAAGGACTTTCCTCCAGGCACGGGGGCCAGGACAGATCAACTCTCATCTTCGCTCTTCGCAGGGACCAGCACTCTCTGTTCGGCGTGGTGGGGACTGCTACTGCCCCTTGTGGCGTCCCCCCATTTCATGTAGGGGGCAGTTCCTTCCCGCATGTGGATTTTCTGATGCCTTCTCAGGTACTTCTTCAGCCGATAGCGTTTCCCACACACCCCACACTTGTAGGCCCCACCTCGAGAGTGGAGCAGCTGGTGTTTAATGAGGTGCCGCCTCTGGGGGAAGCATTTCCCACACTTGGTGCATTTGCAAGGTCCCATACGAATGTGGATTGTTTGGTGACGGAAGAGATTGGCCTTCTGGTTGAAGGTCTTCTCGCACTCAGGGCACTGGTAGGGCTCCTCCTTGGTGTGGATCCTCTGATGCCGAACCAGATTCGATCGCTGGGTGAAGCTCTTCCCACACTCAGTGCATTTGAACGGCTCACTCACGTGGAGTCGCTGGTGTCGGATCAGTTTCCTGTTCATGCGGAAGCTTTCCCCGCACTCACTGCACTTGTACGGCCCCTCGCTCGTGTGGATCTTCCGGTGTCTGGTCAGGTTTGATTTCTGATTGAAAATCTTCCCGCACTCAGGACAAGGGAATATCCGTTCACCTTTGTGAACTCCCTTTGCTGAGGGACCTTTCTTGGGCTCGGATTTCTGCTGGTTCTTCAGCAGCCCTTCTTTAGCAGGCTGATGATATTTCTTCTGCTTCCTCTTTGGGCTCTGGCTTTCCTTGTGGTTGGCCTCCACACCAGCTTCTTCTTTAATTTGGATCCTCTGAATGGCACTGAGGCTTGTCTTCTGCCCAGAGTGGATCCCATATTCAGTGCTCTCCTGTAGTTCTTCCTTCACCTGGAGCACTTGGTTGCCGACCATGGGGACTTCCCGCTCATGCTGCATATCAGCATCTCCTTCCTTTTTAACCTGACTTCCACATAAAGCCGTCAGTGGGATCTTTGGATCAAAGAGCTTTCCATAGTCTAGGTTTTCTGGTGGCTCTTCTTTGATACAGAGTTTTTGGCAGGCTATTGCAGTAATGTTTACTTCACCTTCAATGGCTGGTTCTGATTCTTCCTTCATCTGGGTTTTCCAAGGAGGGCTCTTTGGATCAGATGAGTTTCTGCGTATACTATACCCCTGAGCTCTATCTCCATCACAAGACATGTTCTCCAACACATTCTCTTCCAATTTGAAGGCCAAGTCAGGCTCTTCTTTAAGCTGAACGATCCGGGGAGGCATACCTTTGATGTGTCCCTCAAGTGGCTTTTGCTTAACATGGTTCCTCTGGTGGACGTTGAAGTACCGCTTGGTGCTCAAACTCTTCCCGCACTCGGTACAAATGAAGGGCCCCCCGCGGAGGTGTATCTTCTGGTGTGCCAGCAGCATGGCACTTTGCCCGAAGCACCTGCTGCAATCAGGGCATTTGAAGGGCTTCTCCCGCTTGTGGATCTCCTTGTGTGCAGTGAGAGTCCCCTTCTTCACAAAGCTCTTCCCACACTCTGTGCAGGCAAATGGTCTCTTCTCCGTGTGAGTCCGCATGTGGATGTTGAAGTATATCTTAGTGCTCAGGCTCTTCCCGCAGTGGGCGCAAAGGTAGGGCCCACCCTTGGTGTGTGTCTTCTGGTGGGCGGCCAGGCATATCTCCAGGCGGAAGCAGCGCCCGCACTCCCCACAGCGGAAGGGCCTCTCTCCTGTGTGGATGCTCTGGTGGGTTGTGAGGTGGCCCCGGGTTGTGAAGCGCCTCCCACACTCCCCACAAGTGAAGAGCTCCTCTGCTGTGTGGATCCTCTGGTGTCTCTTCAGGTTTCCCTTCTTGCTGAAGGATTTACCACACTCCAGACACGAGTGCATCTTCAACACCATGCGCTTAACCAAGTCCTTCATGACAGCAGTGCCCTGGGCCTAGCAGTGTATGATGAAGGTGCCAAGCAGCCAGCAGGTACGAAAAAGCCACAGTGTTATGGGGATGGACTGTCTGGGAGGATATAAAAACCCTCAGCAGTCACACATCAAAGTGTACTTTAATGGATGCACTTTACTCCCCATAGGAAAAAGGTGGTGCTACTGTGCTCCAGGAGTGTCTGGTCTTCCTCATTTCTCGGTCACCTTTTATCTTAGCTGCAGGCATAATGTTTATAACTCCATCTCCTGCTTTCTCTACCCTCCTGGAGAAGTTTCCCAGGCAATCATGGAAACTTGGATTGTTGGACTGCAAAAAACAAAGAGCAAATTAAGGCATTATTTCTTCTCCACTAGCATCATGCATGGTGTGAGTACACTGCGTGGCACCTTGGCTGCTATGTGGGAGACTGAACCTGAGACTTTTGAAGTCGCAGTCTAAGGGGGACTCCAACAGAGAGAGTTGGAACAGATTAATTTCTCCTGGCTGCAGGGAGAATCTGTAATGTACTCAGACCTGCAACGACACTGAGGTTTTGGCCGTACTGTTGCTCCTCCAGTGACTTACCTTCAGCATAACTGTCTATGCTTTTACAGTCCTTCTACTGAGAAGATTTATAAGTTAACAAGCTAATTAGTTAATGCACTTTGCAATGACTGTTGCAACTAGTCCCATTTCTGAGAAGTGACTGTGGAGCAGCCAAAATTTTCCAAACCTAGAAGAAAAACAACCTTGGCACCCCTTGCAAAACTGGGATGTGCGGCTTTGTGTTGTCAGACCTCCTTGCGCAGGGAATGGCATGTCAGTGATGTCCTCCTTTTGCAGCTGGAGAACTGAAGCACGGGAAGCTTAAGTAACTTTGTCCTGGTCACAGCAGATTGAACCAATAGTCTGGGACCCATATTTTCCATTAATAAAACATTGTGTCACATCAGACACGTGAGCAGCACAAACACCATCTCCTATCAAGGCTGTGAATTCCCTTGAGGAAGGAGCCTAAAAGACTGAGAGGAGAAACATTTGGATGTGCAAGGTGCCCATCAGCACAGGATATACACGGCTGGGGAGGCTGTCATGGCTGAAGAGGCTGCTGCCAAAAAACACCAGTTACAGGACAAGCTGTCAGCAATGATACGGGTTGCCAGTGAGATCTTCACTGGGGTTCTTGGCTGTGGGGGAGGCTGTGGCTGAGAAGCTGAGTCCCTGGAGAGCCTGTCACTAAGGTATAGGTGTTTGGGAAGATGGGGATGTGCCTGGCTCAGGGGTGAGAGATGTGGTTCTTAGTGGGATGGGTGATTTGGAAAACTGTAAATAAGAAGCTGTGTAGCTATCTAAATATCTAAATAATGCTATGACACAGAATTTACAGCAATGCACTCCTCAGATAACAAGGGTCAGAGGGGAAAATGAAGATAAAGATAGGGAAAGCTATTTCGAACTCGTTCTGCTTGTGTTCCCCCTTCAGCTAACCCATCTGGATTCCCACCGAAGCCAGTAAGAGCCATCACTGAAGCACAGTGGTGCTGCTCTCCCAGCTAAACTTGCCATATTGTTACAGAAAAATCACAGAGAAAAAATCTACCTGCAAAGCTTTACTGAGTCAGGAGAGATGAAGCACGTACGCTTGGAGCAGGATCTTGGTCTAGTGTTTGCTAGCAGAGGGGAGACCCTGAGGAGCACTGAGACCACCTCCCAAGGGTCAGACAGCTGACACTAGCAATGGGTTTTAAGTCAACAAAGCCTTAACATCAGCTAGGCTTGAAAGAAAAGTTCAAAAGCGTATTTGTATAGAGGAAGGTAATTAACCCTCTGAGCAGCTTGCAGCGGTAGCCTCCCTGCCATGGATCTTTCTGCCAAATCTGGCTGCTTTCTGAGTGACACTCTCAGAAGCAGTCGCAGGTGGGTAGGCTGGTGACAGGTTTGCTGCGAACGTATCACGGCTTGTCTCCGCACACTGGGTGCTCAGACCCATCTCTTAGAGGAAACAACTTGCCTGCCAGGAAATTCACAGCAGCTTTTAAACTCCCTCTGAGTTTTGGCAAAAGGACCACAGATCATTGTAGAAGAAGAAATTCCTCCCTGCTTTCTTCCTTTATTTTTTAGCATCCGGATCCTACAGTTTCAAATCCTGCTTTCACTCCCAACTCTGCAATCTCCCAGACTCAGGGTTTGAATCAAGGGCAGAGTAAGGTCTCAGGGAGTTGCCTTTTCTTTATTTCAGCTAAGCTGGACAAATAGACAAGAGGTTGGCTGGAAGCATCTTACCTGAGTGAGCCATTAATCTCTGGAAGGCATTTCTCTCCTCCTGGGGAGTCAGCAGCACTACAGTGTTTGCGACTGGGTTGCAAGTTGTGTTGTAACGGCAGCTGAGCTGACCTAAAGGAAGTCTGTGGCCAGTGCAGTGAGAGCTACCGGAGGAAGGGTGAAGCGAAACAAAGACAAAGAGCAAAGGTTGACCGAGCAGGGGGAGGATGGAGAAGATGCTCTTGATTTGCGCTGCCAAAATGCGTTTTCACACAACCGCGATGGTGTTCCTAGGCTTGCAGGGAAGGAGAGGAAGGGAAATTCTCCCTGACGCGTCTTTCTTCTGCGCTGCTATATTTGTGGGAAGCTGGAAGGGTCCCAAACTCGCACTGCCTTCTGGGAATTGTAGTTCTCCTGAGAAACCTTGGTCCCCGATCGTGCCCTCGCTGCCCTGGATGCCAGTTGGACAGGATTAGGCTAGTTCTGTCTGATCCTTGCTGAGAGCATTGTTTTTTTGCTGCAGGAAGGAAAAAAGCTTGCAGTGCTACAATCACCCTTCTTTCCTCCTGGGCTCTGTGTGTCTGGGACTCACTTTGAGAAGCATCACCATGGAAAAGTGTATGTTAGGGAATATAGGAGTATTTCTGTGTCCATAGCAGCCTGCAGTCCCCGTGGGGGGAGGTGGCACCAAGATTGCTGCTTAGGTAGCAACAAAGAAGCTCTTTTAATGATCAGTGAAAGCAAAAAGAGATTGTGCAGATTTTACAAGGGTGGACACTGAGGCATGTAGTCTAGATTTGGCAGAGTGATACGCACCACCTGGGAGAGGCTCACAGAAAGTGGTCAGACTTTCCTGAATCTGAACCTGTAAAATGAGGCTTAGAAACCCACAAGGAAGCTTGATTTCCAGGCTATTTCTCTGGTAGGGTGTTAGGAGCCTGTACATGAGGGAAAGCTACTCCACCACAATGGTTCCCTGGGGCACAGGCTGTCCCACATCTCTGAAATTGGACTTATTGTCCACTCACTCAGTTAGTCCTGCGTCAGCCACCATCTCCAATCCTGTCAGAAATATGGTCCAAGATAAACATATGCTATTTTCCCTCTCTCTGATTTAGGGAAACTGAGAGAGGAGATGGTGAGGAGCCTGGCTGAGGTTGCACAGGGAAGTCCAGGGTGACCAAGCCCCTCGAGTTCAGAACTAGTCCACACACTGTGTGTGTTTTGGTTAAAGTCCGCCTGATGTGTTTGCTGTTCCAGTAGTATGACACAGTGGCACTACTATAAAGGTGCTCCTATGTGCCAGCTTTTATCCCATTCCAGTGAAGGATGAAACCATACAAGTCTAACCAACATACCAGTACCTACGCAACAGAGACCACACAAACCTCAACAAGTTTGTGTTACTGAAGGTCTTCTGCTCTGATGCATGAAATAGTGCCACAGCAGGCCCTGTGACAAAGGAGAGACCATGGTGGTCTGACCACGAAGGAGTTGTGCGTGCTGGAGATCTGCATTTACTCAGGTGAGTCCCCCCACAGTTTACACTCTCCTTTGAATAGACCAGATCTGCCTGCTGCACCCTGAAGGTCATACAAAGGCCCAAAGTTCAGAGCTTGCTGGAAAAGAGAAGACCAAACATGCCCTGGTGTGAGACCTAGATTCTGCTCAAACTGTCAAAAATGGACTCAGAAAGCCTCATATTCATTCCCTAAAAAACATTATAGCCAGAGTTGGTGGGGCAGGGTTAGAATAACTGCCACGTCCAAAACTATTTCTTCCTAAGCCCAGTTTGGAAATGTGAGTACCCAAGAAAGGGAATTTTTAGTGTCCACAAGAGGTCAGGAAAGGGAGGTGAAATACTTCTCACTTTTGTTGGACCAGATAGAAGCAACTGATGGTCTCCACATAGGTCAGAAGCAGGGGAATCCATTCCCAAGAGCCAGCTCCACATGGACCAAGAAAAGACCAGATGAGAGGGCCATCCTCTCTGACCTCTGATAAGGGGGTCCTTCCAGATTAGGGCCAAGGTCAGAGGTAGGGCTGGAAGGGACCATAGGGAGTTTTGCCCCAAGAGTAGGATCAGCTGGGCTTAGCCCATGGCTCACAGCTGTTTGTCCCAAACTTTTTGTTTGCAAACTGCAATAGTGGCAATTCCAGAGTGTCCGAGGCCATCTGTTCTGGCAGTTAGGTGGCCATCAGGAGCAAAGAGCGGTCACTTCTACAGCATTTTAAAATGCTGGTAGAATATTTATTGGCAAGGGTTATCAGAGAAAAAAGAAGGACTCATCACCATTAGAAGTGCCTGGGTAGTACCTGCTTGGAGCCTATGACAAGAGGTCGCCTGCACTGCTACAGCCTGGTTGCTCACCCCCACCACCATTGCAGCTGGCTCTGGGGCAGAGGCCAGGCTGTTTGTAGGTCTGCAAACCCTCGCTCTCTAACCCTGAATCCAGTGTGCAGAGCAACACAAAGATGAGAAGTTTGTCCAGGGAGGGAGAGATATCTGGGCGTTTCCCTCAGGCTTTGCTAGCTCATTTTTCAAGGTGACTTGGCAAAGAGGTTCAGGTTCCTGATGTAATTAGGCAGCAGTCTCAAATGAAACTGCTCTGCTGCCATTACTCACTGCCTATCCTGGGTCCTCCAGTGGTTCCCTGGCCACCAAGCCTCGACAGCCCATTTGATTAACGAACGACCTGAAAAAACAGGGCTAGACCCTCAGCGCTACATAACACCTTTACTTCTTTGGGATAATCAAGTTGTGAGTTACCTGTAGTAACTCCGGACCTGGCCTGTAGCCTGGCAGGGGGGTGGCATAATGAAACATTGTCCCAGCCTCCAATCGTTTGCAGCCCAGCGACTTTTTGGCCTTAGAATTAACTTTCCATGCATTTTCTTGCTTAAAAATGTCCAGTCTCTCTTTGAACCCATAAAATCTTTAATATTCACAGTGAAAAACTTTAATATCCACAGTGAGGCATTCCATAGCTTAATTAAATATCAAAAAAGTACCCCTTTTTCCATATGTTTTGAAGTTGGCACCTGCTGTCTTTACTTGATGCCCCATAATTTTTGTAACCGAGTATAAAGGCATGAACCAAACTCTCCATTTCCCTTAGCCAGAAGCTTGATTACAATTGCCAGCAATGTGCTGAGCCTCTAGGCTTATTGCCCTCCCTGCCACCGCCGCGCACGGTGTTGTCCATGATCCAGGCCACCTATTCTTCTGGCCCTTACAAATGTCCTGTGACACTGCTGTTGGTGACCTCCCAGTCTGAAAGGAGTCTGTGCACATTTAGAAAGTAAAGCCGGCTTGGTGACGGCTGTGCCATCAGCTGCAGCGACTCTGACGCTGTATTGTACCACTAGATGCCAGTGAAAGCTTTTCACAGCCTGCTCTCACTTAGAAAATTAGACAGTTTTGGCAATTTGATGTGTTTTATTCTATTTTTTAGAAGTTAATCCCTCACTTTTGATCTAACAGAAGCCTGCTTGCATCTGGGAATTTGGGTAGTATGTATAAATGTACATGTGAATGTGTTTGTGCGCATCTTCTCTTTCTCTCTGCTTCTCTATGTATATATGCTTCTTTGCCCTTTTTTGTATTATCCAGAGGAGAGCTTCCTCCCAGAGCTTCCTCTGAAACCAGGAACCCAACTCCATGTTTCTTTCTTCATCCCTCTTCCATCAAGCACACCAGCTCCCTGAATCCTTTGCTTGCCAAGTCCTCTGGCCACCACATCAGGTACTGCTGCCCTGACCTGGATAGTCACTCCAAGAAGCTTACAGGTGGTGTCACGGCAGCTCTAAGCCTTGTCTTCATCTGGTAGATTTTGCTCACGCCAGTGGCTAACACAAACTGCAGAGCTCCGCCTCTACCCCCTTCACATAAGCCACAGGGGCAGAAAACTGCAGGTTGGGCATTGGTTATTTAGAGCTGGGATAGAGCACTGCAGGAGGCTGCAGGTGTTCAAAAGGCAGGGTGTAGGCCCTCAGTTATCTAGCTGTAGAAGGCAGATCATTATTCCTCATGGGGTAGAGCTGTCTCTTCAGTGGTAGGTGAAGACACTGAATCCAGTCTCCCGATGGGACGAAGCTGCCGTAACTCCATGTCCCCAGGTCCAATCCATAGCAAGGCTCAGGATGTATTCCCAGTAGGCACCACATAAACACGTGCATACAACATATGGACGTTTGCACTGATCAACATAGACATAGTCACACAAACACAAGCAGCAGCAATGGCCTCGTCCCGTTCCCCTCTCTGGCTGATCAGAAGGAAGGTCTGTTAGTGGGACACAGAAACACATACATACGTACAATGTGGACCTTCCAACAGCTGATCTGAGACGGTCAGGCCAACCTGCAGCTGCTCCACAGCTGGATCCCAGGTGTGCCCATCTGCTGGCACCTGGACATATGAGCCCCGAAGCCGATAGTCCCACTCCAGTGGTTGGTACAGACCCCCTTGCACAGACACACATACACATGCATGCACGCATTTGCGCACCCACACAGGCCCCAGCTGCTTGCAGCAGACACATGGGCCTTCTTGCCTGCAGTCCCACTGCGCTGGCACTTGGCTTTATTCACTCCGGTGTCCCCAGTTGCTGGCGCACGGGCCCCTGCAGCTCCCGGTCTGACTCTGGTTGCTGGCGCTCAGGCTCCACACATGCACTCACACACACACACGCAGAACAGAGAGTCCCCTGCCTAGGAGAATAGACAGAAAGGAGGTTCGTAAGAAGATAGGACCAACTGTGCTATCAGCTGCAGGGCATGGCCAGACAAGCATGCTGACCAGCCCTGTTTATATGTGATCAGTCCCTTTTTATTCCCTAATCTCTCTAGTTTCCCACTTTTGTGCCTTCCCAAATCACCCAGATCTCTCCCTTTTTCTGCCTTTAGGTCCTCCCTCCCAAAATAAGCCTTATGCAACCCCAAAATGCTCTTCCTCTGCATCCCACACTATGTCCCATTCCCCCAGGCAGTGAACCCCTCAGTCCGAAAGGTGCTTTGGAGAGCTACCCCCATTGGTTTACCTTACTGGGTCTCACAGCTGGATCATGGGGCTGATGCTGCCTTGAGACAGCCCCGGAGGAGCTGCACAAGGATGTTTAATGCTCTGAGCAGGTTATCTGGGTCCCCCCCACCACACCATTGTGCCTCTGTGCTCTTCTGCACTTTTGACGATGAACCTTTGATGGGCTGGTGGCTCTCCTGTGACAGGCCTGGGAGTAGCCAGGCAGGGTGTGATTTGAGTTCACCCACCTGCCACTGTTCCTCTGAGCTCCTTCATGCTTGTGGAGAGGAGCT